GGTCAGGGGGCATAAATGCCCTCTGATGATTTTTAAATTTTTTTATATTAAAAACATTTAATGTTTATTTTTGAGGGAGAAAGAGAGAGAGCAAGAGCTAGTGCACAAGTGGGGAAGGGGCAGAGAGAGAGAGAGAGAGAGAGAGAGAGACACAGAATCCGAAGCAGGCTCCAGGCTCTGAGCTGTCAGCACAGAGCCTGACACAGGGCTCCACCTCAGTGACTTTGAGATCCTGACCTGAACCAAAGTCAGCCACTTGACTGACTGAGCCACCCAGGCTCTTCCCCACCCCCGATGGTTTTTAAAATATGCCCATACATTCTTTGAGTGCTCTCCATTTCACTGTGGGCTGGGACTTAGTGATTTGCTTCTTATGAATAGAATACGGCAGAAGTAATGGTATGCCACTTTCAAGATGGGGTCTTTTTATAAAAAGACCAACTTTCCACTGTGGGTGCACTCTCTCTCTTGAATCACTTATTCCCAGAGGACACATGCAATGTGTGGCCAGTGGAGAGGTCCAGGTGGCAAGTTTCCAGCCAAAAACCATGTGATTTTGAAAACAGAACCTCTATGTCCCATTAAGTCTTGAGAAACTATAGTTCTGGCCAAGAGTTTGACTGCAGTCTTGTGAGAGACCCTGAGCCAGAATTATCCAGGTGAGCTACTCCTAGATTCCTGATCCTCAGAAACAGAGTGAGATAATAAATGTTTACTGTTTTAAACTGCTGAGTTTGTTATGTCTCAGTAGAAAACTATTATACTCAATATGTAGCTCTGGTACTCTGGCCTCTAAATTCTAGTCATCTTGCTGTGTCTTCTCTACTCAGCTCATCTTCATGGCTCTGTTTGGATTTCTCCTTCTGGTGCCGAAGCCTCTTCAGGCAACTCAGTGAACGGGTTCTTGTTTTTTCTAATATTTTAAGGTGTTGTGGAGGGGAAAGGACTTAAGATTAGCTTTAAGTTGGGAGAGACTTAGGGCCAGTGAGTCGAGAGAATGAGGAAGGGCTGAAGGCATCAAAGCCAACTTTCTATGTAGAGAAGCATGGTTTATAAAATGCAACATGTGAGCACCTTGTGTATAAGAACAGTTGGTTCCACTTACTCTGATGCTTTGTCACTTACCTCCACCCCACAAAAGCTGAGCTTGGTTGATGCTAGCTACCATCTGGTGACATATGTAGTGACCTGTCTTAACCAACATATTTTTCCCAGCTGCTCTTTTCTTCTCTCTGAGGTTAGTAACACACACACACACACACACACACACACACACGTCACAGTCCTGCCTTTTTTCCTTTATTTCACTATGCACAATTTACTCAATCCCAAATCAGGCTAGTTCTTTCTTTCACATACATACATACACACTCAAACCCACTTTAACTGATGTTCTTATTTGCACATCTAAGTCTCTTTAGCTAGAGCACAAAAACTTCCTACAAGTTCTTTTTCTGTTAGGCTCATTCTCTCTGTAAGTCAGATAAATCATGCTGATAGTGGGTGATCACTAACAGAGTTAGTATTGTAATTCTGGATTAAGAAATTGGAATAAAATCCCCTACAGAAATCAATTTCTCTCATCTTCTAAATGATCGTAGAGAATCTCCTTAGAATTTCTACACCTATTCAGAGTAAATCATTGAACTAGGCAGTGTGTTCTGAAAAAAAAAAGATCTACAAAAGAGGGGTGCCTGTCTGGCTCAGTCAGTAGAGCACACAACTCTTGATGTCTGGGTTGTGAGTTCAAGCCCCATGTTGGGTATAGAGATTACTTAAAAATAAAATCTTTTTAAAAATTTTAAAAAGATGTAAAAGAAATCCTAACTTTCCAAAAAAAAAAAAGTCTAGAAGAAGAAATATGTACATAATGTACACAAACCAAATGATTTATAAAAGCCTTAGAAAACATACAAATAAATTATAACAGTATTTCAAATGGGAGAAAGATTATAGCTAGTGGGGAGTTAGGCAAACCTTTCCATGACAATCAGGGATCATGTGTCAGTAGGGACAAAAAAGGACAGAGAAAGGAACTTATATTGGTGACCTGTGCTTCTGAGTATATTTAATTTAATCATTTTTAAAGAATCACAAATGTATTCTGGTAAATACAGACAATTTAATATGCATTCCTTCTGCAATTTTAGTCTCATATTTTTGTTGTCATTGTTGTTCAAATTAGATGAGACATTTAAGACTTATATCCTAGTGGAGATGTTTCATTAAAACTAGCTTCTGTCTTAATAACTCATTCTATTTGTTAAAAATAAACTGCCTTTGATTTCTTGCCCAGTTTTAAGGCTGTATAATTGAGTCCCATAAAAAGGAGTGTGTAGGTTTCTAAGTAACCCAGATATTTCTTGAATGTCTAGAAATCCACACCCACCCTAGTTACTCTGGTTTTTGAGATTTTATAAGACAAGGTTTGGAGGCAGAGAACTTTTGACAAACACACCTAGAGTGTCTTCGTATTTGTTTTTAAACGCAGGACAACTCAAAGAAAGTATTCTAAGACTCGGCTTATTCAAACAATGGCTTTCCTTTGAAATAAGATAGTCTGCCTCCCTTAAAGGCATAGTAGTCACCTCTGACACGGAGAGCGGAAGGTAAAATAACAAAGGAAGTGGGGAACCAATCTCCTGCTGGAATTAAAAAAAAAAAAAAAACAACTGATTTGCATTAACTCATTTCTAGGTGACTGGCTTAGTCCAGAGGATGCATATGGCAGGTTAGATCAATCACCCTTGAGACTGATGTGAAAGGTTTGATGTGGCCAAGGAAGAGGTGTGGAAAAGGGAGTGGGTACCATGTAGATCTGTAACAAAGGAAGCAAGCATATTTAAGGTTAAATTTCCCCTCGAAGACAGAAATAACAGAAAGATATATTTTTTTATGTACAAAAGGGTAAGAGACAAAATAATCTCACTTTATCTGTGATCTTTAGCATACAATATTAATGTCAGTCCCTTTAATCCCACCCTTGTTTTAGGAGAGAGAGGGGGAGGGAGAGTGTGTGTGTGTGTGTGTGTGTGTGTGCAAGAGAAGGGGAGGGGAGGAAAATTGATAGCAATGATGAATGGGAAGCCGGAAAGATAAGGTGGGATAAGGGGCTCTGAAATGTCAGGGTGTCTACTGTCCCGGGAACCTTTGAAGCACCCTCCATGACGAATTACATTAACTGCAGCCTTAGAAAATTCCTACAGACAAAGATGGATAGAAAAATCAAAGGTCTTTGGAAAGCGGGCCACAGCTTTGTGCTCAAGCCTGCAGTAAGTTTTGCTTTGTGTGACGTGAGGATGGGGTGGGGGGCGGCACTAGGCGGTGGGATGGACTGTAGAGGCACTTCTACCTGCACACACCTCAGCTGGGGGGTGAGGGTGGGAGTGGGTGCTGAGCGAGAATGCAAATCGGCCTGTCGGAGTGGCCAATCAGAAGTCAGGTGAGGGAATTTGGGTCCCCACCCCAACTGGGTGTGTCAGCACGTGTGTGGTGTTCTGGGACCTTTGTCCCGCAAAGTCACTCCGGGCGGGCACCCCGTGCTCCCTTTTTCTTGTCAGGTCTGCTTGACTTTTTTCTCCTCCACACCCACCTCGCGAGTCGCGTCTCCTCCTCGTCCCGCCACAAATTCCCTCCCGCGCCTCTCGGGGTAAGAGCTCGCGGCCCGCGCGTGCGGAGCGAGGCACGCGCCAGGTTGCTGGGACTGCGGCACCAGCCCCTGGCAGTTCCGCGCGGGTGCAGGCGGCGAGCCACGGCTCCGACACCACGGCGCTCCTGCCCGCGCGGGGCAGTCCTCCGCCTGTCCTGAGGCAGCCCTGCCAGCCTTGCGCCGGCCGGCTCGCTCCTGACTGTGGGTCTATCCTGTGGGGCTCCGGAAACTCTCGCAGCGTCCAGAACACAGAAAATAGACTCATCACCTAATTCGCCAGGGAGCCAAAGCGCTGCGGGGCCGCGGCGCTGCCTGCCCCCGCTCCTCCCCCCCGCCCCCCCCGCCCGGG